GCCTTGATAGATTCAGAAATCAGAAACAAATATCGGGTGATGTCAGGTTCGGTCTTGATCCATTAGGTTATTTCGAAAGTTTTGTCTGTTTCAATGTCATGTGTAATTGTAGCTGCATATCTCAAGAAATATGTATTGATCAATAGACAAATTTTATTTTCTATACATCGATGCTTTTCATTCATTTCCAACTTTATATTTTTTGTCCCTTTTCAGCTCATTGCTCTAGGATGTCGTTAAGCAATTTTCAGCCAATTTTTCTCTACGAATTTGAGTTGAACCAAAGCGCTGCCAAAACAGCCCGACAAAACAGTTCGACGTTGGTTAGAAAAATTTCGTTCCGGAGATTTTCCTCGAAGTGACTGATCCATCACAAACGGTGCGTAGGATAGGGTAAGAATTGGGCGTCAGCTACCATGCGGTTTTTGATAGTTTAAAACGTATTGGAAAGGTTAAAAAGCTCCCAAAAGTGGGTTCTACACGATTTGAGCGATGACAGAAATTTTCACGTTTCGAGATCTGTTTTTCTTTGGTTTTGCGCAACCCAAACGATCTTTTTTTTTTTCAATCGTATTGTCATGTTTGATGAGAAATGGATCCCCTACGATAACAGGAAACGTTCAGAACAGTGGTTAGACACCAATGATCCACTTATTAAAGGCAAAAACCTACCAAAAAAGTTACTGTATGGTGGTCTGCGACTGGTGTGATTCACTACAACATTCTGCAACCGGGCCAAACCCTCACAGCAGAGTGAGGAAATTGATGAAATATACCGAAAGTTGCGTCAGAAGTAACCGGCACTGACCTTACCACCAAGCTCTGCAGACCTCTAGCCAACCGACAACCATCTCCTCAGAAAAAGTCCAGGCGAAGCTCTCTGGCTTACAGAGACAGGCTTGTCTGGCCATCAGTGGTGCCACCACACGGTTTTCGAACCCGAAAAATAGTAACACTATAACATTACTCTTACTATTTCTCATCACCGATATGGTTTTTTGAAACTTGATTCACTTAATCCATATTTTAAGATATTCAACGAAATCAGAATTTTATTGAAGTGAAAACAAAAACAATCTAATTACGTCAATGCATTTCTGATTACATGGCAAAATTAGCTCACTTAGGTCATCATAGAGATCGCTCGGCTAGTGATTTATTTAAGAAATATCAAGTTTTTGACAGTGCTGTTATAAATTCAATGAAATAATCCTAAGTCAGTCAAATGAGCAGTTGTAAGAAGAAATATAACATTCCTCCGGTCCGTGGTTTCATTGTTGTCTCATAGATAGAGAACCCAGAGTGAAAATCAGTCATAGAACTGAGTGCTGATTCGAAAACTTCTGTTACCTAGTCATATTCATAGCTGAGCAACATAGGTGTACCCCAGGGGTCTTTCCTGGCACATTTCTAATTCATCATTCGAATAAATGAATTCCCTTCATTAACACCTGAAGCTTTCACTTGTTTAAATGTATAGGATGCTATATTATTATTTTATGATAAATCTAGTGGTCATCACGTGCAAAATTTGATCCGTAACACCACGATTACCCTAAACAGCTGGTTGACAAGTAAGTCACTTTTCCTTAACTTTCAGTTACATCACTTTCTATACTATACAAAAAAGTGATCTTGTTCAAAGTTTCTCTGCAAAATGTTCAGGTGTTACTCTTGACGAAGACTTCAGCAAAAATCTCAGTGGTTCCCTTGATTCTATTTGTTATCAAATAAGCGTTTTGAGAGAAGTGATGGATACTCAAATTTCATAAATGTTTTGTAATGCTTAGGTATAATCGAGACTCATTATATGCAATAACAATTTGAGGTATCTCTAATCCGTTATAGAGCTAATAGTTTACAGCGTAAATTCGAGCTCCCTTCAGAAGATAAGGAATGCTTACTCTGACTTAAAAGTTCTTACTTGGATTCATAAAAATAAATATGCATTAATAGCAAAGTAATTTTCATAACTACAATACTTACTAGGGGCAAAACAGAGTTTTGTATAAGATGTAAGCAACCATGACTCAAAATTGCTTCAGTGTTTTGGGTCTCAAACTATACAACGTTTCTCCCAATGAAGTAAAAGATATACATCTGGATCATGTTTTTGGGAAAAGAACAATAAAGATTTTATTACAAATGACGCCCTATGATATCGAAAAATACTTTGACTATTCTCAATATTTCATTGTACTTTTTACATTATATGTCATTTGATGTACTGGTATTGTCATGTCTGTTCTGTTCAAGTTGAACTGTTATTTTTGTAAAATTTGACTTGTCTAATAGCTTGCTCTAAGCTCATTTATGCATTAGTGAATTGTATTCTATTCTATATTAATTTTTTCATCTACAAATGAAACCCTCTCACATATTTTTTTGGAAATAAGTAAAAAACACTTTCACCAATGTTCATATAGATGTTAAAGGAAATATGTGAACCTATTTCTAATAATTTCGTTTCCTGCAATTTGATGATATCGAAATGGAGTTGGTAACTGTCATCCTTATATACAGTTATAAAAGTTTACTTTTCCTGCTTCCGGAATATTAGACACAATCCTCGCAAACACCGACCCGCCAATGTTCCGCATCACTTTGGTTGGATACCGCTGTCAGATGCCTTTCCTTCTATTGAAGATATTATGGAAGTTCGCTGAAAAGTGGAAATTGTAGCTCTTCCGACATTGCTGGTGAAGGAATGCGAACTTTATAATTTGACAAGTGAATGGCGGGAAATGGATAATGATTACGCATTACGTTACTGATATTCGGAATTGGATATATTTTTACACTTAAGGTAGATGAAAATTTCATATATGAATGCATTTTCAAGATTCTAGTGTACTGCTAGTTTCTGAAAATGATTAATATTTATTCGAATATATCTTAATGAAATGAAAATACATCAAAGATTTCAGTTCGATATAAACCTATTACTTAAGTGATAAAAAACAGTTACTAAGATCAAACGAAAAACTATTACACACTAAGGATATCTTATGGGGCGTTACACAAGGATCAGTACTGGATCCAATTTTTTCCTTATTTTTGTAAATGACCTTGTTCCTCTCTCAATTAAAGGAATTTTTACCATCTTTGCGGACGACACCACGCTCCTTTGGCATGGAAAAAATACTTCTAATATGAAATAAACTATCCCTAGTGATTTAAAAGTTTTGAAAAAATGGTGTGACGCAAGATACTTGTGCTTTAATATTAAAAAAACAAACCTACTCACCTTCACCTGTAATATTAACAATTTATATTTGAATGGATACATTCTTGACAATAAAAACCAATCCAAATTCCTGGTAAACTTCATGGATAACAAATTAAAATTTGAACAACATATTTCAGCTTTGAATAAAGAATTGGCATCAGGATGTTATACACTTCGAATAGTTTCAAATGAACTGAGTTCATCCACAACAAAAATGGTATATCATTTCCTGATTTGAGTCCCACCTGAGATATGGCGTTGCCTCCTGGGGATTTGGCGTTCAACAACGTTTNTTTGTCAATGAGATTGTATTTTCTTGGACAATAAAGTGAATGTCTATCTATCTATCTATTCTATGTAAAAAATGAAAAAATAGGTTGAATGTAAATTCCCCTTCGAACCCCCAATGTTCAACTTCCACGTAATTCCAAATTTGTTTTGTGCAATGTCACAAATTAATTTCCAAGCGTCCCTTCAGAAGAGTCGTACTAATTCATAGATAAAATGCTATACTTGAAAATCACGAAAATCCTTCAATTCATTGAGAAATCCTTACTCTACCATCGGCATGTATGAACCAAAATTATTTTGAATTCAAACATTTTGTTGTAATGAAACTGGAACACATGGGCTGGAAAGTCCCGGACCTAAGAAAGAAAACGCGTTGTTTTTTTGTTCAAAATTGGCTTCATTCATCAATGTAATCCCTATCAAGATCTACACAATCATTGCAGCGCGGTTCTAACATTTCAATACCACTTTTGTTGAACGATTTATCTTTTGCTCGAAATAGGCATCAGTTTCAGCAATAAACTCTTCATTCGAACGAAATTTTTTACCGGCGACCATTATTTGGAGGTCTGCGAACAGTCAGTAGTCGCTGGGAGCCAAATCTGGACAATACGGTGGATGTGGGAGCAATTCGAAGTTCAATTTATGTAGTTTTGCCATTGTTTTGATTAACATGTGAGAATGTCCATATAGGACGAAACTGCAGTAACGTTAGTTACAAATAAAAGTGGTAAAACATAGAAATTTTGATTTCTCTTTTCATTGTGATCTCCTACCACGTAGTAACGGCTACATCCATCAATTTATCAATAAAGAGATATTTTAAAGAATTCAGTTTGGAAGATAATTGTTGGCAATGGAATTTCCAAGAGAGATGTTCATCCAGAGATACTCCCAAAAACCTAACCTCTGCATGTGTATTATGCATTGTGATTTCACCAATTTTGACTTCAAAATCATCAATATTTCTTTGGCGACAGTGAAATCTTAACATCTGAGTTTTTTGAATGTTGAAAATTAGGTTTCTACTATTGAAAAAAGATGAAACTGCATGAATTGCTGCAATACATTTCGTTCATAGCTATTCATTATTCGTAGAGGGCAGAAATCAGCAGTATAATCATCAATATAATCAGCAGTACCAATCAAATGGCTCAAAAATGAAAATATAACATTATTATAAACAATAAGCACTAAAATAAAATATATCTTGATCATCTTCAAAGGAAATAATTTCGATATTGATGTTTCGCAGACAAGTTTTCCAAACACTTGAATAAATCATCAATACCTGTTTCCTCAGATAAAAATTCAATAATAAGACTCGCTTTGACAAACCTTTCCTTATATCTATATTAATCGCCAATTTTTTTCTATCGTTTGCTTTTATAAATACGTGTAATTTAGTGATTAATAAACTACTACTACTACTACTACTGCTACCTACAATTAAATAAAAAAATCAGACGATTTTCAATGGGGTGCTTTATTAACAAAAATATAACAAATATAAGAAACAACAACAACAACAACAACAACAATAACAAAAAAGCAGGCGTAACACACATTCTTACATAGAAAGTTTTCAGTCAGAAATCGATACACAGATATAAAACATGAGATTTTTAACCTTTTTTTTCGTTCTAATGATGTTCATCATGTTTGTCGAAACCGCTATAAGACTTGTGGACTTTCTTGTAGTACACATGCTTGAAAATAGGCACATGAACGGGGTAAGGCTTGTCAACGTACACAGGGTAGTGCTTCTCCAGTACGACCGTGTACGGTTTTTTGACGTACACCGGTACCAGTTTGTTGACGTGGATGGGTATCTTCTTTTCGATCTCTTCCGGTACCAGTTTGTAAATCGGCACCGCCACTGGTTCCGGTACGTTCACGTGTACCGCATATGGGGATGGTACGCCGACCTTGATGACCTGCGGTACGGGAAATTTTACTGGGTGCGGTTCTGGGACCCCCACTTTTTTCACAACCGGTATCGCGTACGGTTTCGTTTGCTGGACTACTTCCGGTCCGTGGTCGTACTTGTGCTCGACTGATGAATGTACTCCGTGGCCGAAACCTTCAATATTTCCTGATTGGAAGTCGTGTTCTGTGTAACCAGCGGAAGTCGTTGAAATGAGGGCGAAGAGAGATGTTGCGATCTGCAAAACGAAAAAACATATACACATATACAGAAATGATAGATGAAACCAGGTGAAGTGTTTTCAGAACGGGGCAAATACGTGTTAGGAACGCAAGGAAGAGAAAATTTGAATGATGGCGTGAAAATCATTAGAGAACACGAAAATGTTGTATTTTTTACATGAAAAATAAATTTAAGTCGATTCAAGGTACGAAGGATGAATATTAGGAGTTGAAAATGTTTTTTTTTATGATTTTTAGTGAAACCAGACATTACACTGAAAAAAGTTGGATACAAGAGTTGTGAGAAATATCAACTTTTGTATGAACCATTTTTTCAAAACTATAGAAGCGCAGAAGTGCCATATATTTTACCAAATTTCGGCTTTGATCTGCTAATTTCGACTTTGAACTCAAAGTTAGTACTTTAAACCCGAAACTTAATTCTCGAAATTTCCACAGTAAATTCTGAATTACGACTTTAATCTCAAAATGCCGTCTTTAAAATCAAAAATACCACTTTCAACTTGAAAATTCTACTTTACACTTGAATTTCGATTTTGACCTCGAAATTACGACTTTGAACTCTAAATTACGACTTTTATCTCAAAATTTCAATTTTGAACCCAAAATTTCAAGTCTCATCCTCGAATGTCGACCTTGAACTCGAAATTTTTACTCAAATTTTGAATTTTTGACTTCAAAATCAAAATTACTTCAAACGTCAAATTATGACATTGATCTCAATATTTCGACTTCAGTTTTGAAATCTCGACTTTAAACTTGAAATCACGACTTCAAACTCTAAATAACGACTTCAAATTCAAAATTTTCACTTCAGTTTCGACATGTCGACTTTACTCTCGAAATTTCGATTTTGAACTTGGAATTACCACTTAAAACTATAAATTACGACTTCAATTTCAAAATTTCAACTTTACTTTCGAAATTCAATCTCAAAATATCAACTTTGAACTCGAAATTGGGACTTTTAAACTTCGAAACTTCGACTTTATTCTTGAAATTTTGACTTAAAACTCGAAATTACGGCTTTGAATTCTAAATTACGACTTTTATCTAAAAAATTCGACTTCAGTTTCGACTTCGGACCGTAAATTACCACTTTAGTCTGAAAAATTCCGACTTTAGTTTCGGAATATCGACTTGAAACTCGAAATTACGACTCTGAACTCGATATAAGGAATTTAAACTCGAAACTTCAACTTTATTCTTGAAATTTCGACTTTGAACTCGAAATTAAGACTTTAAACTCAAAATTTTAACTTCAGTTCCGAAATCTCGACTTTAAACTTAAAATTACGACTTTAAACTTAAAATTACGACTTTTATCTCGATATTTGGACTTGAGTTTTGAAATATCAACTTTAAACTCCAAATTACAACTTCTAACTCGAAATTACGACTCTGAACTCGAAAATTGCGACATCAAACTTGAAATTTCGACTTTATTCTCGAAATTTCGACACTGAAGTCGTAATTACGACTTCAAACTGTAATTTACCACTTTTATCTCAAAATTTCGACTCCAATTCCGAAATCTCGATACTGAACTCGAAAAATCGACTTTATACTCGAAAAATCGACTTTTAACTTCAAATTACGATTTTTATCTCAAAATTTAGACTTTAGTTTTGAAATATCAACATCAAACTCCAAATTACTACTCCTAACTCGAAATTACGACTCTGAACTCAAAAATTGCGACTTCAAACTTGAAATTTCGACTTTGTTCTTAAAATTTTGACATTGAACTCGAAATTACATTTTTAAACTGTAAATTTCCACTTTTATCTCAAAATTTCGACTTCAGTTCTGAAATCTCGACACTAAACTCGAAAAATCGACCTTATACTCGAAAAATCGACTTTAAACTTCAAATTATGATTTTTATCTCAAAATTTAGACTTCAACCTCGAAATTTCGATTTTAAATTCAAAATAACAACTTCAAACTTTAAATTACGACTTTAGTCTCAAAATTGAAGTTTCGAAATATTGTTTTTCGAAATATTGCTTTAAACTCAAAATTACGACTCTAAACTCGAAATTACGACTTAAAACGTGAAACTTTGATTTTAATCTCGAAATTTCGACTTTAAACTCGAATTTATGACTATAAACTTTGAATTCTGACTTTAATTTCAAAATTTCGAGTTTAGTCTCCAAATGTCGACTTTAAACTTCGCAATGTGGCCTTTAATCCCAAATTTTGACTTCAAACTCAAATTACGACTTTCCACTTGGAATTTCTAATTCGAAATCTGTCTTGATCTCAGCTCATCGAAGCTTCCAAATATTTCCCAAAGAATATGAATAAAACCGGAATCATAATCAGGAGTCAGATTAATTTTCATATCTCTGAAAATGGGACTGAATCACATGTAAATATTCCTCAACTAATAAGCATTAATTTTTAAACTAATCAATACAGAAACGAATCTTCCACAAAGTAGATATATCCTTTGCTTTGGAACCCCTCATAATATGCCCATCATATTTATGAATTTATGTGAACTGCTCATATGTATGCAGATTCTCTTCGAAACAATCTCCAACGAGGTGCTTCGAGAAATTTGAATATACTCGCAAATGAGGAATCCGAATATATGCAATATACTAATGAAGATAATCACAGCACGGACAAAGCTACGAATGAACATAATAATTAAAATCATGCCCACGACCGTCATGCTCCGTGAAGAGTAACGGATTGATTGAACTTGAAAAGGAATTTTTGCTCGTAGCACAGAAAAAGAAATGCACGGACTAGATCGAAGCATAGAAAGTTCAATTACTCGTACATATTCAGGTAATTCTTCTGTGAAGTGAATCGATTGCAACTTTCGTTGAGCTATTGCTGAAAACGGACTAGTGAATGTATCAAAACGTAACAAAAAAATTGAGACCATTGATAACAAAATTTAAACTATAGAAAAATTATTCGACTCGACACAAATGAACATACTAGCCCAAACACATGTAAACTATGGCATACTTGTTTGGGGTGGGACCACTAATAATTATATTAAAAACCTAGAAGTGACACAAAAATGGCTGATAAAGATAATGTATAATAAAAGTTACAGATTTGCGTCAGATAAACTCTTCCAACAATCTAAGCTATTTACAACTGTACTTCGTTTGGTCAAACAACCAGAATACCAAAGGTTGGAACTACAAAAAACCATCTCTTACCTATGCACGATAATTTACAGAAAAATCCTAAATGAAATAAAAACATTCGATAGTCGTTTGCTATTTTGACAGAAGTTGAAGGCATATGGATTTCAAACCAGCCCCCCGAACTAATTCTCAAAGCTTTTCAAAGAGAAATTTGGTTCAACACAAATTGGATTCTAACAACACTTAGACACAGAAAACTTTGAAGTACATCTAACTTGAACTGCCTTGAATATACTGCTTATATTTGTGAATATCAAAAGAGATTTATAAAAAAATCAAGGAAAAAAATAGATTATATTCAAATCTCACATAGAGCACCCCAAGGATCCATTTTATCTCCGTTACTCTTTATGACTTATACTTTTGACTTTGGCAAAGCACTTGAAATATCTGAAATGCACTCCTACACAGACGATACAAATTTATATTTTTCAGGTAAATCATCTTGTATTGTATTCAGAAATTCTAAAGACAGACAGAAGGCTATAGATAGTATCAAAATTAGGATCGACAATCAAGAGGTTGAATTCAGCGATGAAATTAAATGTTTGGGACTTGATATTGACTACAAATTACGCTTTCAACCACATGTCAACTTACTATTACGTAAAGCTTATGGATTGTTAAAAAAACTTTATTCGAACAGACATTTTTTCAGTCGAAACATCAACATCATTTTATGCGAAAGTTTAATTTTATCTGTATTCAACTACTTCGATATCGTCATGGCCCTTGTCTCGATCAAATCACATAATCAAGAGTTGCGTACAAGATTAATTTTAGCGTTGAAATTCAGAGATCATGTATCTTCTTTCATAAATCATATTGAATGGCTGCTGAAAATGATTAACAAAAGGGAACTGCATCTGGCTAACTTTGTTCATAACCTCAGAATAAAGCAGCAACCTCAATATCTTTTGAAGAAGTTAATATACAGACGCGATACACATGATCGAAGTCTCAGAAATCGGAGTGAATATTATATCCAACGGCATAAAAACAAACAATTCGAGCGATGCTTCTCTTATCAGGCTTTAGTATCTACAATAATATCGAAGAAAGTATGGAAAAGGCTTTCCTCATTATCTTTCAAATATAGATTCAGATTATTTTGCCTGAATAAACAATGATCTTGAAATTAAGTAATCAAAATAAATTCTTCAAAATATTTCACGTTTTAGTTCATTTTTTAACAGTTCATTTTCAACATGTTAGAATCAATTTTATTTGTATGTATTTACCTAATGTATGCTTGGTTGAGTGGAAGAATAGCGATGTATGATAAACTCCGCAAAGTAAAATAAAGGCCATTTACTGGCCTTCTGCATCTGTCCGGCTAAGATTTCTGCCTTAGTGCGGCAAGCCGGTATGATTTTAAGATTTGGTATGATTTTGAAATATATGATTATTAAATGTTGTGTTGGCGGATAATTCTGCTGATTTTGTCTGTGATTCTTTTAATANTTCTCTACGAATTTGAGTTGAACCAAAGCGCTGCCAAAACAGCCCGACAAAACAGTTCGACGTTGGTTAGAAAAATTTCGTTCCGGAAACTTGATTCACTTAATCCATATTTTAAGATATTCAACGAAATCAGAATTTTATTGAAGTGAAAACAAAAACAATCTAATTATATCAATGCATTTCTGATTACATGGCAAAATTAGCTCACTTATGTCATCATAGAGGTCGCTCAGCTAGTGATTTATTTAAGAAATATCGAGTTTTTGACAGTGCTGTTATAAATTCAATGAAATAATCCTAAGTCAGTCAAATGAGCAGTTGTACGAAGAAATATAACATTCCTCTGGTCAGTG